AATGTTTCTCTTTAAATATTCCAGAATAGAACCTTTCAGTTACTACTCTTTGACGAACCCCAAGCTTGGTTCTAATTATTGAGCATATTTGATTCCCGCCCTGCTCCGTGGGAAAGCACTAGATAGCACCCCTCAGCCCACCAGGGCCTGGTACATTTCCATGTTTAGAAAACTGAGCAGAAATATGATGGAGGGAAAAGAATTCTGGATAAGCAATATTTTCAAGTTTCATTGAAAAACAACAATTTTGCATAGCTCAACCTCTCATGGAATCTCATTCTCTAGAAAGACTGCAAAATGCTGAGCTCGGGGCTAAAAGCCACACTTTTAAACCCAGCACCTTGCCTGGACATGTCAGTCACATTGTCTGCCATGTCCAACATCCCCTTTGTGTTAAACTGCCTTCGACACCTTACCCACCCACACAGGGTTCAAACCCCCTGCCTGCTTTCTCTGCGTGGGGCCTCCCTGCCCATGCCCACGGGCAGGTCACAGGGAGACCAGGAGCATAAAGCTCTGCCCGAGTGAAGTGACAGTGATCAGCTAAGCCAAGCAGAATGGCTCCCGCCGAGAATTAAACTAGAGTGACGTTTTCAAGCTTTAGTTGTGCCATAGGACACTTTCTTGAAGCAGAAGTCGCCCAGATGTCAATGTGTAAAGCAGAGCAACGTGGGGTGCTCTGGCTAAAGGGGTTCAGCTGCCACGTCCGGAGTTTTCCTGATTTCCCCATTCAGTTCTCCCGCATACACCCTCCACATCCTCATACTGTCTCCATGGAATCCTAGAATAAAGGTCAAAAGTCCGCAGCACTGAAGGACACTGAGGAGTGAGGGGGAGTGGGAGGGACAGCACAGCGAGGCTGAGAGGACAGAGAAAGGAGCCCGTGAAGCTGGAAATGAGAGATGGCAAGAGGCAACCTGAAGCGCCTTGGCTCTGTAGAGGTTTCCAGTCTTTTTCCAGCTGTGCACACACGGCAATAACCAGAACAGGACCAACCCCTTCCGTGGCTGTGTAAGCCTCGATTCCCTGGATCCAAAGAACCTCCCCTACCCAGGTTCTAAGGAGCGTGTGCTGGAATCATTCTTTCCAAAGACCTTCCACCCTGACCCCAGGCCACCTCCCTCCCAAGCTTCCTG